GAGGAGTGGCTGGTGGGTTTGAACCGCCAGCTTTCTGGTTAGCAGTCAAGTGCCTTAGCCACTATGCTATAATGTTGCCTTGCAAACAAATTTTCTAATTTTGTCAGTATCAGTCTGTTTTAAAGAAAAGTCGTCTTGTCTGGAGGCTTTGGCTGTCAAATGACACATTCACTTTAACCTGTGGTATAGGTGAAATGTATTTAACAAGTTTATTCTGTACTGGGCCCCATGCTTCACACCTTGCATGCAGTATCTCTTAAACTTCTTAACTCATGGGAACCTAATTACTCCGACTTTACCTTGGGTTGGGTGGGGACTTCGAGAGGTTAAGTGCCTTGCCCTGATGCTCTCTGCTGGTAAGAGTTAGGGCTGAGAGCTCTCCCTGGTCTTCCTTCCACAGAGCTGAATCTGGCAGTATTGTGCCTCCTCTGCTGTTCTGTTTTGTCCTGGGATTGGTATCACCTTCAGACTTCAGTGAGGTCTGATGATTAATTTGGAGGTGTATTTATAATATTCCTAAATCCAAATGCTAGGTCACTTTACCAATACCACGTTTTTCCGCCTTTTCTGACATCCTTTATCAAACTTTTTCACAAACTGACCACCTTTACTTGTTCTGCTCACTCTGGAATATTGCATACTAAAGCTGAACCGGTTATGGAAACCATCCCTCTATATTAATGTCATAGTGATTTGAATGCCCACTATATGCAAGGAAGGCATGTTTTCTACAGTATCTAGTGGTTTGAGGTAGATAATTAAGAGAAGACCTGGGTAGTCCAGTTCAAATTGTTTACTCTTAGTTCCTGATCGAAAACTCAAGAGTGTGAGCAGGTCTTGAGGATTGTTGCATCTAGTCTATTTTAATTTTGCTAGGTTGTATGAGTAGTGTTTCTGTCACACATACATGTAACTAGAGAATGGCTAAGTGCAAGCTTACTGGCATTTTTGTCTTTGCTGCCTTTTCCAAGATTCTTAGCTCTTTTAATTTCCCTCTGAGTAATTGTAAAATCCAGGCCTCAGAAATATCACATATATATATGTACTGCAAATGTTATCAGCATTTATCACAATCAGTCATTCGAAAGGAATAGATGTTTCCTAATTAAAATAATTGCGTATCATTTAGTTTACCAAATCCTTTCTCGGCTTTCAGTTGTTAAATTCTTTTCTGCTTCCTAATTTTAAAACACTGAAGCAGAGTTCTCCAATTAGATTATCTCTTCAGGATGAATTGTGGGCATTTTAAGTGCTAGACTGAGCTTCATGAATATGAAGGACCATTCTTGCACTTATTGCATGTCCCAGTACATAACACCTCACTTGGCTAATAATGTTTTATTAAAGGAAGGGCACTATTCATTACTATAGTTCTCCCCTTCCCACCCCTCTGAAAGCTGTAGGAGTTTTTTGGTTTTTTTTTTCTGTCAGGGGTCTCTAAAGTACCAAGATGGTCAATTCTGTATTGTCTTATAAGTGGGCAGGCAGGGTTTTCACTATTGATGAATACTGAGTGCCCTTCTGTCAGCTTTTCTGCAGGTCCTGCTGTTTGTCACACTTCAGGAATCCTCTCTAATAGGGAAGGCAAGGAGCAGGCTTCAGGAAGAAGTGCCAGGGCATGGGTGGCAGAAGAGCTTTCCTAAACTTGTATACTATGTGCTAGTAATGATAAGGTTTTGGGAGAAGGCTGTTAGGGACTATATCTGCATAGGGCAAAATATATAGTCTCAATTCCCTGTAGTCTAAATCAGATTGTTTTCTACCTAAAGAATAGTTTAGGTGAGGGTAAAAATGTATCATTTCTTGTCATCATGTGAAAATACATTATTATACTTCCATTCTTATCAATAAAAATGTCACCAATCAATACACTGGGATTCCTGCTCCCTTGGATGCGGCTTGAGCTGGAGGTACTCTGAGCTGGAGATGCTACAGACCACAGACCCTAAGCAGTCTGGAGATGCTGGGTCAACGTCCTTCTAGTCTGTGCTAAGGAATGGCTTCCCGTAAAACTGCCTCGCAAAACTTGAGAAAGAAGCAAGATGAGGAAAAAGCCCAAGGAGAAAGACACAGCTGGAAAAATCTGTGTTGGGAAAAGGCCTAGACCAACATAGAGTACAGTAATGGGAAAGGCGAGTATTTCTAAGAGGAAAAGATTTACAGATCCTAGTAATAGTTGGGAAGTTGAGGAAAAAAGCAGAATGTCTATTTCTTCATTTGAAACAAAAAAAATAAATAAATGTTAAAGATGGAAAATAAGAAAATCTTTATCTGACAGTGAACCTCAAGACCCTGTATCAGTCTGCTAACAAACCAAAAACTGTTGCCATAGACAGCAGTAAGAAGTACTGTTTCCCATAAAGTGGAAAGATTTTAATCAGGTAGAGTTAGTACTGGCAGACAAAGCAGCCATAAATGCCCTAGATTGGAATTTCTTTTTATGGAGTTCTAACATTTTGGTTCTTAAGTTGAAACTCAGTAATAAATTATAAATCTAGATCTTGAACTTTTTCAGTGTGAAAAACACATTTTAATGAAACTTGAGTTTGATGTGTTTATTTTGAAGTAATATTTGGGGGAATTGTTGAGGTTTGTGTGTCAGCAGGACTGGTCACTTGGACTAAGTGGTCTGTAGTTACATCATTTATTGTAGATTATAATATATGGCTCCTCTTTATTACGTAATTAAAATACAGTGTTTTATACCTACTATTGGGGAAAAAAATGCTCAGTGCTAAAAAGATTTGTGATATAGCTACATTTTAATTACTGAAGATGGTGTAAATTGATATAATTCGTATACAAAGAAATTAGGAAATACGTATCAGGCTATAAAAATGTATATGCCCTTTGACTTAGTAAATCTAACTGCTCAGATTTAATACAAAGAAAATAAAAAAGGAAAAAGCTATATGCATATAAAGATGTAACAAACTAGAAGTCATTTAAATGGAGAGAAATGGGTAAGTAAATTACGGTGCAACTATACAGAATATGCTCGTTTTTTTAACTTGACAAACTTTGCTGCAGCACTTTCAAACAAAAAGGCAAGTTACAACACTGCATTATTGTAATGATTGACATTTTATAGAAATGATGTGTTAAGTTAAAAAAATTTGATAGATGCCTCCAAAATTTTTGTTGAATGAGAAGACAAAGAAAAAGAATGTAATTCATTATATCCTCTAAGCACAGTGCTTGGTTAACACTGGGTGTGCATTGTGTGCTGCTGCTCAAGGTAAAGAACATCTAGTTGACTACATGCCCCACATGCCCATTTGTTTCCATACCAGATAAAGCCCAGGAAAGAGCAGTAATGCCCCTGGCTCCTAGCTGGGCACTGATTTTTCTCCACATACTGTTACGTATTCATCCACAGAATAGTAAAAAAAAAATATATATATATATATAGATAGATATGTATGTATATAGATATGTTATGTATGTATTTAATCTAGATCCCAGTATAAGACAAGAATTCAGTCTAAAAATTAGACAAGTAATTAAAATAATTCTAGTCTTAATTATGTTATTTGCAAAACTGATGACAGTGGACTATTTCCCTCATCTGAAACAACATTCATATCAAATGAGTGGTTATGCCTAACATAAAGAACAGTTATCACACAAAATAATATTTTTTCGTTTTCACATCATTAATAGTAAGTACTTGTAGGTTTCAAAACTAATTAAATCTGCTTTCAGCATTTTGTTGCAGAGTTTTTGAACCAGCTCCTTTGGAATGCTCTAACAGCTTGATGGCCTTGTCAGAGTTTTCAATATTTCTAAGCAGAGTCTCTAATCTTCTCTTAATTTTCTTCTGGTCTTCAAGAGCACAGCCAATTACAATCGATTGAAACTTCTGATCAATGGGCCCCGGTGGCACCTCAGAAGAGCAAGCACTGTACAGTGACATTAAATGACTCTTGGCATTTTCCAAATCATCCAGAAACTTATTGACCACCTCATCAATTATCCTGGTGGCATGCTTCAGCGATTCTTGCTGCTGAGGGTTTCTGATTGTTTCCACTGAAACTTCAACAGTGAGGGTTCGTCCCATCAAACGGTTTGCAGTCAGATTTAATTCTTCTCTTTCTCCTAAAAAAAAAAAATCAGCCAGAGACATAAACTTATCTATGTCAAGACTACTAAGATACTCTTTTGTGGCTAAATCTATTATTTTCTGTAAGCATCTCTGCTATGAGTATTTTAAAGATAAACCTAAACATACAGCCCATAAGGAGCTCTGGTAGCATAGTGCCTAAGGCTAAGACTGCTAACAACAACGACAACAACGGCACATAAGATTAACTGATGGAGTACAATGGGTTATAGAAAGAGGTTTGTACAATACCATTTTCAGGAAGTCTCTACATGTGGGGTACTAGATGACTTCTCAAATATAAGCATGCTTGCTAAGTTTGAATAGGTATGTATTTGTAACTGGGATGGAGATAAACTCTTAGTGAGTGAGCAGTGAACATCACGAGTTTGTGTTGGTTAGAGCTGTGGAGACCAGATGTCCTGGTCTCCATAAGATCATGCATGTTTATACGTTGCCTCTATGTTTGCTGAGAAAACATGGTCATTGTAGTGGAGAATAAGCTGGCCTCAAAACTAGACACTGATTTCTTCATCTTCTCCAGACACATGTAAGCAGGACAGTGGGCTAAATCTTGCTTGGCCAGCAATCTCATTTGTCCTGTTTCTTAACTTCCTTTCTTCTTCACTGATCTGTGGCCAAGACAGTGAGGAAACAAACTAGATCATAACCACATTGTAGATTTCTAAGAGTTTTTGTCCAGAGTCAGACTGTATACTTACCAGCTCCCTAGCCTACTAGCTTGTCCTGTGAAGCACCAAAAGAACTAAAAAGAAGTTCAGTGCCAATGAAACTGGTTTTATAAGTGACCTATTCCTCTATGGCAATTGAAAATACCATGGCTTAGGCTGGGTACACATTAGTCTTCAAGGAGACATCTTTGCTCTAAAGCACTCAAAAGGTCTTTTGCAGCACATTAGCCCAATGCAATATGTTGCCTGATATCCTGACTGCTATTTCCATTGGTGTTGATTGTAGAACCAAGTAATATGAACTCCTTGACAACTTCAATCTTTTCTCCATTTATCGTGATGCTGTTTATTGGCCTGGACATAAGGATTTTTGTTTTCTTTTTACTGAGGTGTAATCCATACTGCAGACTGCAGCCTTCAATCATCATCAGTGAGTGCTTCAAGTCATCCTCACTTTCAGCAAGGAAAACTGTGTCATCTGAGTATTGCAGGTTGTTAATGAGTCTTCCTCCAATCCTGATGCCAGATTCCTCTTCATATAATCCACTTTCTCGGATTATTTGTTCAGCATACAAATTGAGTAACTATGGTAAAAGGATACAACCCTGACACACTCCCTTCTTAATTTTAAACTATGCAGTATTCCCTTGTTCTATTCGAACAACAACCTCCTGGTCTGTGTACACGTTCCTCGTGAACACAGTTAAGTGTTCTGGAATTCCCATTCTTTTCAATGTTACCCATAATTTGTATGAGCCACACAATTGAATGCTTTTGCATAGTCAATAAAACACAAGTAAACATCTTCCTGGTAGTCTGTGCTTTCATTCAGGATCCATCCGACATCATCAATGATATCCCTCATTCCACATCCTCTTCTGAATCTACCTTGCATTTCTAGAAGTTCTCTTTTAATATACTGCTGCAGCTGTTTTTGAATTATCTTCAGTAAGATTTTACTTGCATGTGATATTAATGATATTGTTCAATAATTTCCACATTCTGTGGAATCACCTTTCTTTGGAATGGGTACAAATATGGATCTCTTCCAGTCAGTTGGCCGGGTCTTCCTAATTAGTTGGCATAGCCAAGTGATTACATCTAGCGTGGCATCCATTTATCAATAGGTATTTGGTCAATTCCTAGAGCCTTGTTTTTTGCCAGTTCATTCAGTGCAGCCTTGACTTCTTCCTTTAAAGCCATTGGTTCTTGATCATATACCACCTCCTGAAATGGATGAACACTGACCAATTCTTTTTGGTACAGTAACTCTGTGTATTCCTTCCATCTTCTTTTGATGCTTCCTGCATCATTCAATATTTTGCCCATAGAATCTTTCAATATTGCAACTCGAGGCTTAAATTTTTTCTTCAATTCTTTCAGTGTGAGGAAGCCGAGCATGTTATTCCCTTTTGGTTTCCTAACTCCAGGTCTTTGCACATTTCATTTTAACAACTGACTTTGTCTTCTTGAGCTGCTCTTTGAAATCTTCTGTTCAGCTGTCATTTCTTCCATTTGCTTTAGCTACTCTCCACTCAAGGGCAAGTTTCAGAGTCTCTTTTGACATCCATTTTGATCTTTTCTTCCTTTCTGGTCTTTTTAATGCCCTCTTGCTTTCTTCATGGATGATGTTCTTGATGTCATCCCACAATTCCTCTGGTTTCCAATCACTGGTGTTCAATGCATCAAATCTATTCTGTAGATGGTCTCTAAATTCAGAAGGAATATAATCAAGGTCATATTTTAGCTCTCGTGGACTTGTTTTAATTGTCTTCAACTTCAGCTTGAACTTGCGTATGAACAGTTGATGGTCTGTTCCACAATCAGCTCCTGGCCATGTTTTGGCTGAAGATACTGAGCTTCTCCTTCACCTCCTGCCACAGATGTAGTCAATCTGATTCCTGTGTTCTCCATCTGGTGAAGTCCATGTGTATAGCCGCCATTTGTGTTGTTGAAAAAACTTATTTGCAGTCAATAAGTTGTTGGTCTTGCAAAATTCTATCATGTGATCCCCAGCATTATTTCTATCACCAAGGCCATATTTTCCAACTACCGGTGATTCTTCTTTGTTTCCAACTTTTGCATTCCAGTCACCAATGATAACCAATACATTTTGATTGCATGTTTGGTCAATTTCAGACTGCAGAAGTTGGTGAAAATCTTCAATTTCCTCATCTTTGGCTTTGGTGTTGGTGCATAAATTTGAATAGTAGTAGTATTAAATGGTCTTCCTTGTAAATGTATGAATATTAGCCTATCGCTGACAGCACTGTACTTCAGGACAGATCTTGAAACATTCTTGGTGATGATAAATGGCATGGCATTCAAGTTTGTCATTCCTGGTATAGTAGATCATATGGCTATCTGATTCAAAATGGCCCAAACCAGTCCATTTCAGTTCACTGATGCCTAGGATATCAATCTTTATGCGTTCCATTTCATTTTTGACAACTTCCAATTTTCCTAGATTCATACTTCATATATTCCATGTTCCGATTATTAGTGGATATTTGCAGTTTTTTTTCTTTTCATTTTGAGTAGTGCCACATCAGCAAATGGGAGGTTCCAAAAGCTTTACTCCATCCCTATCATAAAGGTCGGCTATACTCTGAGGAGGCAGCTCTTTCCCTATCATATTTTAAGTGCCCTCCAAACTGAGGGGCTCATCTTCTGGCACTATATCAGACAGTGTTTCAGGGCTATTCATAAAGTTTTCGAGTAATAGACTGTGTTTCACTGCTATTCATAAGGTTTTCATTGGCCAACTCTGAACAGTCAATGACCTCTTCCTTCTTCCGAGTCTGTCCTAGTCTGAAAGCTCCGCTGAAACCTGACCCATGGGTAACCCTGCTGGCATTTGCAACGCCGGTCACATAGCCTCCAGCCTCTTAGCAACATGTAAGCCACCACAGCACAACAAACTGACAGACAAGTTCATCTTGTTTAGCTGTTCAAACTGCTTTGCTCCCTTCCTAGCCTCCTTTAAAGCTGCCCCAAACCCTCTATGAGCAGGTATGGTTTTCATCTGAAAATGATAGCACATTTTTATATTCTTGTTCGTTTTTTTCCTCATAATTTTCTCCCCTTCCTTTCTTAAGTCACATCCCAATACATCCCTGTTTGTGTTACTTCTCTGCTTTTGCTTTTAAATGTCCTACAGTCCCAAGGAAGGTTGGGCAATCCTACTTCCATAGTGATACTGCCTCGGAAACCCAAGGAGGGGTCACTATGAGTCGGGGCCAACTTGACGGCACATAACAACAACAACAGTCCCGAAACACCGTCATCAAGTTGATTCCGATTTGCAGCAACCATACAGGACAGAGTAGAATCACCCCAGACTGCCTCATCTTTCTCGCACAGTGGCTGGTGGGTTGAAATTGCGGTACTTTAAGTTAGCAGCTCAATGCCTTAACCACTGCGCCACCAGAACTCCTTTTTCCTGCAGCCCCGTAACTGGTAAAGAACTGAAGCTGGGAGTGTGAACCTGTGCTGAAAAACATGGCTTTATTGCTTGGAGCCATGCTTTTCCTAATCTTGTCGGCCCTCCAGCCATGGTCTGGGGGTTGGGAACACGCTAGGGGAATGAGCTCTGGGTAAGCAGCTACTGGAATAAACTGACAGCTGCAGCTACTGCCTGCAGCTAACGTTAAATGCTGATGCCTAATGTACTCATATAAAAAAATTAAGCGTGTATCAAACCCCCTAAGTGTACATAAAAGACAAGCCCCCTCCTATGGAAATGGCTCTCACCATCACTGATCTGCCTCATGTCCTGGCTATTTTGGATACTGTGGATCATCTCCAGGAGGATTTCTTTTTCTTGCTCAACAGCACTTGCCGCTTCTCTCAAAGCTTCAACCCTGTATAAATTGGGAAAAGAGTTTTTATATGAAGAATGTTCTGTTAAGTTTCCTCATTTCTGTTTCATTCAACCCAAGTCAAGTTTAAAGGTCAATAGGAATTCTTTTAAAAATAGCGTTCCTTTTTATCATTTCATCTTTCTGTTCCTTTTATCCACTTATGCCATTCTTGTTTTTCTCCTCACTTACAGGGCAGTCAGTCTATTTAATGTTTATCTATTGCACTTATTACAAAATCTGTATTGTTTGTGTGTTCATGCATTTTTAATTGTTTCGTTTTTCACTAATTTTATTAAGAACCAGCCATGTTTCTATGTGCAAAATGGGCATGGAAGTGGTGGTGTCTTCCAGCCTCCTCTAACTTCACAAGGGGGAAGAAGGTCCAAGATCAGCAGCCCAAGGCTGATTCCTATGAAGTCGAGGTCAGACATGCTACCACCCTCCAAACTTTTTACCAATTATGATCCTAACAGTCCCTCCCACGGCACTCTAGTCTTCTGCTTGGTTCTAGAGTTTGTTTCAGTGGCCACACAGAACTCAAAATACTCACAATTATGGGTTTATTAGGGAAGTAACAGGTTACAATTCAGGATCAGAAAACAACTCAGGATGCAGTTCTTCAGTCAGGACCGACTGGCTGCTTCTCTGCTGGCCACAAGCATGCTTCTCTCTGGCCTCAGCCTCTACGCTGCTCAAGCTAGTGTTACCAGTCTCTTTCAGCTTTGCTTAATAGGTGCCAAGAGAGGCACCCCACTCTGCCAGCAAGTCTCCTGCCTGAATGCATTCAGCTTTCTCCCTCCATGGGCCAGGAAGCCTGTCACTGTGTCTCATGCTGGTCTCTTAGTTCTGCTGTTGTCTGTTTCTCACAGTAGGGATCTCCAAGAACATACTCTACTCCCACCTCTTCTTTCTTGATGGCAGTGACATCCCCACTTCCCACCTTTGGGATGCCTCATTTTAAGCCTAGCAGAATTGTAAGACTGACCAATCCCCACATAGGGTTCCGTACACCTTGTTTGCACAGTCCAACCCACATGAATGCCATGTACCTTATTTACATTATTAGCAAGTTACCCTGTCCCCTTGGTGGGCCACAAGCACCTCACATTTGCATAGTCCACGCAAGTCATCTGGGTCACAAAGATCATGGCTAGAAGACCCATCCTGAGTAATTCACTGCACAGCGCTATGTATGTATCTATCAGTAGCATCCAGCTGCTGCATGATACTCCATGTGTACGTCCACCTGATTTTACCTCTCCACTCTCCCACTGATGGTCACCCAGGTTGTCTCCCATCACCACAAATAAGCTTTAACAAATAAAAGTCCTCTTGTGGACCTGACTGACAATTTCCTTCAGATATATACCCATCCCTACCAATACTCATCACTCTTCAACTTTCTATTTGTTGCCATTCTAATGGATGTACAATGGTATATTAGTATTTAATTTGTATTTATTTTATTACTAATAATTTTGAACATACTCTTCATACCCTTGTTAGCCTGTTCAGTCAATCTTCCTTAAATAGGGTAAAGAAACTCTAGTGGTGGAGTGCTAACCAGAAGATTGGTGGTTCAAGCCCACCAGTTGGTCTGTGGAAGGAATATGAGGCAATCTACTTTTGTAAAGATTTACAGCCTTGGAAACCCAACAGGGGTTGCTATAAGTCAGAATCGACTTGATGGCACTGGGTTGTTGCTGTTGTTTTGGTTTAAATAGGGGAAATGTCCTTTCATTTATAGAGTCCTCATGGCTTGGCTACTAACTGAAAAGTCAGCTGTTTCAAACCACCAGCCACTCTGGGAGAAAGATGTGGCAGTTTGTTTCCATATAGATCACACCCCTGGAAGCCTTATAAGGCAGTTCTACTCTCTCCTATAAGGTCACTATGAGTTGGAACCGACTCAATGGCAATGGCAATGGTTTTTGGGTCCTCTAGTTGACTTGTGGGAACTGTGGTAGCGTAGTGCCTAAGGCATTTGACTGTTAACCAGGAGGCTGGCAGTTCAAACCCACAAGCCACTCCTCGGAAGGAAGGTTGGGCAATCTACTTCCGTAGTGATACTGCTTTGGAAACCCAAGGGTCGCTATGAGTCGAGTCCGACTCCACAGCACATAACGACAACAATAGTTGATTCGCAGGCATTCTTTGTTTATTCAGTATTCAATTGCAACCTTACTGGTTTCAGGAATCACAACCATCTTCTCTCATCTTGTTGTTGTTGTTGTTAAGTGCCGTTGAGTTGTTTCCGACTCATAGCGACCCCATGCACAGCAGAACGAAACACTGCCCGATCCCGCGCCAGCCCCACAATCCCTGCTATACTTGATCCCATCATCGCAGCCACCGTATCAATCCATCTCCTTGAAGGCCTCCCCCTCTTTCGTCGACCCTCCACCCTACCAAGCATGACATCCTTCTCCAGGGAATGGTCCCTTCTTACAACATGACCAAAATAGGTGAGACGAAGTCTGGCCATTCTTGCTTCCAAGGAGCATTCTGGCTGCACTTCCTCCAGGACAGATCTGTTACTTCTTTTAGCAGTCCATGGTACTTTCAGCATTCTCCGCCAGCACCACAACTCAAAAGCATCAACTCTTCTTCGGTCTTCTTCTCTCATCTTATCATGTATTAATTTTGCCTGGGATGTACTTCATGAGCAGAGATCCTTATTTTGATGTGATTAAATTCTATTTTTTCCTTTTTTCTTTGCCTAATGCTCTCCTCTCCATGAGATAACTATTTTACCTGAATAGGTCATTTCAAAATGTATACTTAAATTTGTGTGTTATATAAGAAACAAAATACAAGTGTATCTATGGATAAAAACAAAAACACACTGCCGCTGAGTCTGCCCCAACTCAGAGACCCCTCCCCTCCTTGGGTTTCAGAGGCAGTATCACTATGGAAGAAGACTGCCCAACCTTCCTTCCGAGGTGTGGCTGGTGGGTTTGAACTGCCAACGTTCTGGCACCAGAACTCCTGTATCTATAGATAGATACCATAAATAACTAGTAATAGTGATATGTTACAATATGTGTAGAAAATCCTTTTTTGGGTGGCAGTTAATTGTGATTTGGTTGAAGGTTTACAGAGCAAATCAGTTTTCCATTCAACAATTCATACACATTTTGTTTCATGTCATTGATTGCAATTCCCACAAAGTAACATCACTCACCCCACTTCCTCTTTATGTTTCCTGTTTTCATTCCTCCTTCTTTCCTAACCTTTCCAGCCTTCTGAACTTTGTTCTTAGGCAAATGATGCCCTTTAGATCTTGAATGATTGATCCAAGGACTGCTTACCTCCCTAGTGTTACTGTTCACCTTATAGACCTACTGTTTGGCTGAAAATTGAGCCACGGGGCTGATTTCAGTTCTAGGGCTGAGGGTTTATCAGTCTCTATCAGACCAGGAAGCCTGGACTTTTTTTTTCAGTAAATGATTTTGAGTGTTGTGTACATTTTTCTTCCATTCTATACAGGACATTCTAATGTGATTCCTTTCAGAGTAGTGGGTAGTGGTAGCCAGGTACCATCTAGTTCTGGTCTCAGGGTCATGGGGGCTGAGTTTCATGTGGTCCATTAGTCCTTTGGCCTGATTTTGTCTTTGATTTTCTTTACTTTTCTTTGCTCCAGAGGGGGAAAGACTGTAAGTTGCACCTTAGATGGCTACTCACAAGCTTCTAAGACTCCATGTACTTCTCACCAAAACAGGATGTAGCACATTGTCTTTGTGGACTATGTTGTGTGCCAATTGATCTTGATGTCCCTTGAGACTATGTTTATGCTTCTAAAGTTTAAGGGTCTTTCCCACCCTGGTTGCTGTTAGCTATCACTAAATCAGCCCACAACTCAGGGTGACCCCATACACAATGGAATGAAACATGGCTTGGTACCACTACATTATCCCCGTGACTAGCTGCGTATCAGACCTTTCTGATCCACAGGGTTTTCACTAGCTGATTTTCAGAAGCTGATTGCCAGGCCTTGTTTTCCTACTATGAAATTCCACTGAAACCGGCTGAGCATCATAGCAACATACAAGCTTTCACTGAGAGATAGGTGATAGCTGTGCATGAGGTGCACCGGCTGAAAACTGAACCCAGGTTCTCCCATATGGAAGGCAAGAATTGCACCACTGCCCTCATTCCTTACCCGCAGGTCGTAAGATACTCTCCTACATTTTCTTGTACTAACTCAATCGTTTCATTCATTTTTCATATGTATGTCTTTTAGACTCCAATGTTATATGTGGTTGAGTCCAAATAGTGACCCACTCTCTCCAACATTATCTACCCCAAAATCCACTTTTTCCCAATATATTGTCACCTCTGAAATCTCTATCCTATACATTAGTATATTTAATGGTCTTGCACCAATATCCATGTTTTTTTAACAGCACCAGTCTTATAATATGCCTTAGTATTTGGTAGAGCAAACCCTTTTATCTTCTTTAAAGATAATTAATACCTTTAGTCCTCTCTATAAACTCCAGACTGTTTGGTTTCTGAAAAAAAAAGAAAAAAAAAAAAGGGGGTGGGGTGGGGTGGGGAATGACTTCTTTATAATGTCATCCCATACAAGGGCATGTTATATCTATTTATTTGGATCCTCTCCTATGTTCTTTATTAGAAATTTGAAGTATTTTTCATAATGGTCTTGTGGATTCTTAAAAATTCAACTTTTAGGGATTTTGTTGCTGTTGTAATATATATATATATATATTATTACATTTTATAGTTGATTACTGCTGCTAAGAGAAATGCTGTTTTTGCAGGTTCATCTTATAACTGGCAACCTTGACTAGGAAGCTCCACAGGATTTCCAAGCCTATAAACCTTTACAGAAGCAGACTGCCTCACCTTTTTCCTGTGGAGTGGCTGGTGGGTTTGAACCCACTCTTTAACCACTGTGTCACCACAGCTCAACATTGACTTAAACATAATAATTTTAATGGTTTGTCTGGTGATTCCATTGGGTCTTCTAGGTTGAT